GACAGTGTGTGATCTGTGATTACTTCAGACCATGCTAAGTTATATCAGAAGCTGTGATGATGAGGATCACTGGTGCTTCTCACATGAGCATCAAGGTCAGGCTCATTTTCCTCTCTCTTGTGGCTCAGTCCATCTAGTTCCTTCACAGACCCTCCCAATGGGCAATACAGGAAACTGTATTGCCTCTTCCTCTTCTCACTAGACATTTGGGCTATTTCCTCCTGGGAATTATTCTTGTTGGTAGACACACATCTTGTCTACTTTTCTGCTGCTTGAGAACACACAGGAGTATCCAGTAGACACTTTGACAGGAGAGTTTTTTCCTGTTCTTGGTTACAGAAAGTGACGGCTCAGGAAGTAGGCCTGAACAGAACATATTTGAGCTCATCAGGATTTCTGACAGGTCAGAAGATGAAGAATCATTTCCTGGTACTAGATATGTGTGTTTATGTGAGAACACATATGACTTGTGTGTTTTGTTGTATTAATAGAATGTGTTTAGGAGAGGATTGGAGTATAGAGTCACTTCTTCATTTAAGAAAGACAAGTACAGGTTATAGGGATCTGAAAATCATCTCTTCTTGATGGAATATTTCTGGGATGGTTTAATACTGTGTTTTACTTCATGACCTCATGAGTATCTCTGTGTATATAGTATGTTCTTTTATGTGTGTGCCTATGACTGGGTGTGATGTTCATGTTCAATGTGTTATGTGGCATGCAATGTTTTTTTATGTATAAATTTGTTTCAAAGTGACACAATCTCTGTTTCTATCTAGACTGAGTATAGTTCTCTTAATGTGGATGACTACTGATCTGACATCTGTGATTGCTTATGTGTACATGTGCCTGCATTCAAGTGTTTTATGTAACAAATTTATGTTTTACTCTGGCATGGTTGTAGATTGGAGCTAAAGTTAATGTATGCTAATGTGTGCTTTTTTTATACATGTATATATCTGTATGTTAGGGAGAAAGACTCACAGCTGTAGTCTCCACTAAGGTCTTTCTCCTCTTATGTCGGAAAGCTCATAGCAGGATCCTCCTTAAATTAAATGAGCATCTATTTGCAAATACGACTTCATGTCCTCAAAGTTATGTGTGGGCACTTTTTCATTGGCCCTCAACAACGCCATGGGTCGATTCTTGGGACTATGACAGTGACTAAATGCTTACATTCTGCTGTCACACACATCTTAGTTCAAATCTCTAATCTTGACTCTTCATAGCTTTATGATATTGGGTCGAACTCTGTAAAGATCATAAATGTAAAATATGATGAGGCTAAGGATTTATCCCCATGTACCTTATGTTATAAGCACACAATAAGTGAGATAGACTCGACTTGTGACTCATTTCTTATGGAAATTGTTTTGGCAAGGACAGAGGAAGTGGAGACATTTAAATATCCTTTGTTACACTTGACCTCACTCCTTCCCCTCTTCATGTATGAATGTGATTCCAGTTGTCCTTTTCACACAGAGTGGAGCCTCCCTGGTGGTCTAGTGGTTAGAATGATGACCTGACTCAGAAAGTGGTTTGAATCAGGACATCTTTTACTTATATAGTTATTAAAGTTGAGCATTCATTTGATCTCTAAGTTCTGTATTTTCTTCTACAGAGTCTGGACTTGCAAAAGCCTTGGATTAGTAAATTCCAGTGTGTTGGGAAACCCTGCTGTTAGGGTTGCAGTCTCTCCATGTCCGGATAGCCCTGAGAGGCTCGGTGCCAAATGGAAAAACTCCCCTTTTCAGCAGGGGGCCTCCTGCTCTCTTCCTGGCTCACTTTGACAGTGCCGCCAAGTGAAGATGCCTGGCCTTATCTGAAACATGGCCTTTAGCATAGTTACCTGAAGTGAAAACTACCCGCAGGTTTTTTCTATATGATAATCAGGCACTGTCTGACAGTCTGGAAGACAGAAGCCCACTGCCACATGTAAATAAAGCATACTATGAGCACCTATCAACTGAGGCTTTTGCTACTGCCTCCACACTATAAATTCTCTAGTTTTCCCACTAATAAACGGAGCTGTTTTCACTGTGTCTGGAGCTGTATCACTGCTGTTTCACTGCGCCTGTGACCAGTTTCCACGGAATGGCTGTCTTGGCCGTCCTGACCCCGTTCACCGCTTCTGCTCTCCCTGCCCTCATGGGGCAGTGGCCAATGACCCACGAAGAAAGGGAGAGCACCCTGCAGCTGGCCCCCAGAGCCTCCCGCACTGCACAAGAAAAATACCTTCAAGATGAATTATTGCTATAAATATACAAAGCTTTGAAGCATTTAGAAAAAAATATTCAGGATATAAAACTACTGCAAGTGTTAGCCATCACTACATGTATTTTAAATGAAAATGATAAATTGTTTTAAAATTTAAAGGAGACTATGGTTTTTTAATATGCTTTTTATTGAGGTTTTGTAATTTCATACAACAGTCCTTGATCAAATTTAGAACCCCTCCCCCATCCATGCCTTGTCGGTTCTCCCACCAGATCTCATGTATTCCACACATGTTAAGTTCTAGTCATTCATGTCAACTTAATTAACAAGGGCCCAAAAGGGAGGAGAGAAATAGGTGGTGGGTCAGCTGTAGATTGAGAAATATTGGAGACTGGTTGCTACTGGGCAAGACTGTTTTGCAAAAAACATAAAACAAAACAAAAAGCCAAACAAAACACGCTTCTGCTCTCCCTGCCCTCGTGGGACGGTGGCCAATGACCCGCGAAGAAAGGGAGAGCCTCCCACAGCTGGCCCGAGCCTCCTGCAGCTTGGCCCGCCGAGCCACCCTGCACCAGTGTTTTGTCAGATCTCAGTTTGTTACTATGCCCTTATCCTCCCTCTACATGAGTGCTTCCCCCTCTGCTCCTCTCTGCTCTTAAAGTGGCTTACTACCAGGTGTCCATGCCTTGTAGTGATGATCTTTCCATGGATCCCATTTCCTGGAACTCTGTATGTGTTCTCCAACTGTGATTTAACTGTGATTAGATAAGGTACTAAGGTGTATTGCAAAAACCTCTCAGAGGTCTTATGCTCAGAATCAGGATCTACTTCAGTATGTGGTTTCCGACCTCTGTTTTCACACTCAAAAACATGAAAAAAATACAACTACTCGAATGTTTGTTTTAGAAGCACTCAGTAAATATTTGATGACTGTTGAAATTAAATAATATAAATGCTCCATGAAAATTTAATGTATAATTTGAGCTAGTGAATGTGAATTTTGGTTTGCCCAGAAAAAGCTTGACATAGCCCTGTTGTGCAGACATAATTATTACATCACGTCACCATCTACTCTCACAGTGTCCAAATGTGAGTGTACATAGTAGGCTATCATCTGACACAAGAATATTAGGAGATAATCAAGCAAGGAGTGTGGGTAGCATTGACACTCTGAAATAATTTCAGATGTGCCTGAGTAATTCCTTTCTTTAAAATATTTTTATTGAAAGACTAGAGAGATTGGTCATTGGTTTAGAGAACCAGCTGCTCTTGCAGAGGTCCCACCATCTACGTGGTGGCTAACATCTACATCTAACTCCAATTCCAGGGAATTGTCACCCACTTCAGATCCCCTTGGGCATTGCATGATACAGGTACACTTACACACATGTAAGCAATGCACTCATACACATAAAATGAAAATAATAAACAAAATATCAAAAATCATTTTTATTCACTTTGAGAATTTCATTAAAAGTATTTTGATCATCTGTTTTTCTCTCTCTCTTTCATTTTGCTGAAGTAGGATTTCTATATATAGCCTAAGTTGGCCCAGAACTCATAAGTAGCTGATGCCAGCCTTACACTCATAATCCTCCTTAATTGGCTTCATTAAGTACTGGGATCGAAGGATTACAACACAGCACACATTCAGGATTTTCTAAAGAATAAATGAAGGCATAGGATCAGGTCAGTGGTGATGAGCAGGGGATCTGATCATATTGACAAATTCTGGACTTGTGACAGAATCAGGTACTGGATCAATTGGTATGAGCTCATTCAAAATCAGTTATGATAGATGCTATGGTAAATTTTCAGGACTGGTTTTAAGTAAACGATTATGAATCTAATTTAAATTGAGTAGATCCTCAAAAATCCTACAGCATGATTAAGTTCTCAGATTTCTGCTATGGGAAATTTCCTTTATATATATATATGGAGAGAGAGGAGAGAGAGAAAGAGAAGGGAGGAGACAGGAAGAGAGAGATAAGAAATGGAGATGGGAGGAGACTACGTTTGGTTTGATGAAGAGAAAATGTTTGTACTGTCATTGCTGCTGTTCAAAATTTAGTTCCCATCACTATGGTCTAGTGTCTGTGTTATTGCATCCTCAGGGACTGTGAAATTCAAGGATGTTAATCATATTTTATGCCAGTAACTGAGTCTAGTCTAGTCTAAAACCCACCTTACTCTCCTGTTTTTCTGAGTTCGAGGAGTTTGATACCAGATTTCCTGATGAACGTGTCTCTCTGTAGTTTTTAATATGGGTGACTATGACCATGTGTAGGGATCTGCTCTAAGATTATTACATGCATTTGTATAGATTTCCCTCAAATCTTTATACATAGATAATAGCATTATTGATTTATAGAAGGAGATTAGATAAATGCATGGAAAGTGACCCAAGGACAGTGAAAATAAACAGAGGCAGAGGCCATCTTAAGCCTCCTGGCAGGAAGACTGTAGCTCCTGTTCAATTGCTGTGAAATGCTTATAGAATCTGTGCTCCAAGAGAGAATATTATTATGTTTCCAGTGCTGAAAACATTGTTTACAACATGTGTGAAATAAGTAAACAAATTTGTATTCTTTCTTGAAGGAAATATTTTAGCATTGGAAATGTTCTGTCCATGTCAGTGAAGAAAATCTGAGATTCAGACTGTAAAGTGTGAAGTTTGTCTAAATTTTGATGCAATCTGCTGGAAAAAAGCACGCATGCTGTGTCTACCTGGTGAGGGTCTCAGGACTGTGACATTCCTTTTCCTTCATTCCCAGCAGGAAGAGAACCATGAGGAGGGGGAACCAGAGCAGTGTGTCTGAGTTCATCCTCCTGGGGCTCCCCATCCAGCCAGAGCAGCAGGGCATCTTCTTCACCCTGTTCCTGGCCGTGTACCTGACCACGGTGCTGGGGAACCTGCTCATCATCCTGCTTATCAGGCTGGACTCTCACCTCCACACCCCCATGTACTTCTTCCTGTGCCACCTGGCCTTCTCTGACATCTCCTTATCATCTGTCACCATCTCAAAGATGCTCAGCAACATGCAGACTCAGCACCTGTCCATCCCTTATGATGGGTGCATCTGTCAAATGTATTTTTTCTTGCTTTTTGTAGCTGTTGACAACTTCCTTCTTGGAGTGATGGCATATAAGAGGTATGTGGCCATCTGCCACCCACTGTACTGCATGATTGTCATGAGCAAGGACCTGTGTGACTTATTGGTGTCTGGATCTTGGTTCCTCTCTTGTATGTGTGACCTGATGCATACCCTGTTCCTGTCTTGCCTGTCCTGTGCTGACAACACTCTCTCCCACATTTTCTGTGATCTCAATGAACTCCTAAATTTTTCCAGCTCAGATACCTCCCTGAATGAGATAGTCATCTCCACCAAGGTACACCACAGTGTACTATTTTGGGCTCTTACATCTCTATTGGTTTTACTGTCCTGAAGGTCCCCTGGTCTAAGAAGATCTGCAAAGTTCTGTCCACTTGTGGCTCTCACCTCTTCCTTGTGTTTTTGTATTATAGGATTCCTGCAATTATTTATTTTTTTCCTCCCTCATATAATTCCAAAGTTAAGAATGTAATCACTTATGTTTGTAGAGGTGACACCCATGTTGAGCCCCTTCATCTATATCCTGAGGAACATAGATATGAAATTGACTCGGGGATTACTTGTAGAAAATAAGTTATTGTAGCCAGGTGAGTGTTGTGTGCTCATCTTCTTAATTACATGGAGATGTGTCCTGAGATACCCACTTGTACTTGTGTAGGTGAATAAATTGCAGAGACGATCACACTAGCTGTACTTTCAGTTTTGGAGTTTACTTCCCCACTCCTCAAATGTGGGCAGATAGTGTGACTTGATTTGATTAGTATGTGTCTCCCAATTGGCTAGTTCCTCCAATGGGTGAGGCCTGCAACAGTGCGTGGACTACGGAAGGGCTGCTGGGAGCCATCTTGGAATTCTTGGGATAGAAGCCACGAGCCATGGGTAGCACACATGGTGCATGGGGAATGTGCAGCCCGTGTAGCAGCTCAAAGACAGAATGGCCTGACTCTTATGACCCTGGGGTGAAAGCGCTGGTCCCTGATGCATGAAGGAATGCTAGTGGTGGCTATGGGCATGGCAAGGTCTGATATGGCGGGTTCTGAGCTGTGGCACAGGGCAAGGCTCTGGGTACTCATTTCTTTGTAAGTTAATGAATGCACATAAAGATATGTTATATGGTTGCTTGATAATGCAGGAGACCCAGAGGGAACTTGAGTGACAGTATGTTTGTTGGACGTGCCCATAAGATTTCTATGCTTCAAAGGACTTTTTCCCTGCAACATTTGTATTTACAAAGTCAACATATAAGTTAGCCTAAGATAGTCTGTATGAAGAGGAAAGTCTACATGGAGGATGGCAAAGATACTCCAGCTAGCCCTTAGCCAGCACAAGTGGACCTAATAAGAGATTTTAGGACACTGATGAGTCCTAGTTGATATTATCTGAACTGAGCCA